TCTACTTGGGCTATTCAGCTAGGTATCGAATTCTCCACGGAGAAAACTGAGTTGGTCGTTTTTTCTAGGAAGCATAGCCCAGCACAACCAAAGCTTCAACTTTTGGGTAAACCGATCACTCATTCTATGTCCTTCAAATATCTTGGGGTCTGGTTCGATTCAAAATGCACCTGGAGATCCCACATTGAGTATCTGAGACGAAAATGCCAACAAAGGATCAATTTTCTCCGAACAATTACCGGAACGTGGTGGGGAGCCCATCCGCAAGATCTTCTAACGTTGTACCGGACAACGATTTTATCGGTTTTAGAATACGGTAGTTTTTGTTTCCAGTCGGCGGCTAAAACTCACATCATCAAACTGGAACGTATCCAGTATCGTTGTCTTCGTATCGCGTTAGGATGCATGCACTCGACTCATACGATGAGTCTAGAAGTGTTGGCGGGCATGTTGCCACTATCGGATCGGTTCTCGGAATTGTCCCTCAGGCTCCTCACCCGTTGCGAAGTTATGAACCCACTGGTAATCGAAAACTTTGAAAAGCTTCTTGAGCTGAACCCTCAAACTCGTTTTATGTCATTGTACTACGTGTACATAACACAGGATGTCAGCCCTTCACAGCATAATCCCCATCGTGTATGCTTCTCCGACTTCGGCAATTCAGTTAGTTTTGATTTATCTATGACGCGGGAGATTCGTGGGATCCCAGAACATCATCGTTCCATGATTGTTCCGTCAATTTACGCTGCAAAGTTTGGCCAAGTTGATTCCGCAAGATCGTTCTTCACATATGGATCACTAATAGAGTCGTCCGCTGGTTTTGGTATTTTTAACGAATTTCATAGCGCCTCTCGAATGCTTCAAGCTCCTTGTTCCGTATATGTTGCTGAGCTGGCGGCAATACATTATACGCTAGAAACGATCGCCTCACTTGCACCAGATCATTATTTTATTTTTACGGATAGTCTCAGTTCTGTCAAGGCTATTCGCTCTATGAGGCCGGTAAAGCACTCCTCGTATTTTCTCATGAAAATACGAGAGCTTTTAAGTGCTTTATCTTTAAGATCTTTTGTCATCACCTTTGCATGGGTCCCATCTCATTGCTCGATTCCGGGCAATGAGATGGCTGACTCACTTGCTAAGGTGGGCGCTATGGAAGGCGATATTTACGATCGACAAATCGCCTACGATGAATTTTTCTTCATTTATCGTCAACAGTCACTCGTCAGCTGGCAGAATAAATGGAGTGAAGGGAGTTTGGGACGATGGTTGTATTCAATTATCCCTAAGGTGTCGAAGAGTTCTTGGTTCAAGGGGTTGGATGTGGGTCGAGACTTCATTCGTCTGATGTCTCGCCTCATGTCCAATCACTATTCGTTAAACGCTCACTTGTTCCGTGTTGGGCTGAAGGACAGCAATCTCTGTGAATGTGGACAAGGTTACCAGGACGCAGATCACATTATTTGGTCTTGTGCTGAGCATCGCGGAGTCAGATCTGAACTGTACGATTCCCTTCGGGCTCGAGGTAGACAACCTAATGTTCCAGTTCGGGATATTTTGGCTAGACGCGATCTGGAGTTTATGAAACTCATATATGTTTACTTTAAGAATATTAACATTAGATTGTAAGTTTTATTAACCTTGTGTTTAGTTTGTATTTTGTACGTGCGGGTTTTTTTTATGTTTGTTTTCAAGATGAATAGAAATTAGTTCATGTTTTAGGATTAATTAAATATTTGTATCGTAAACCACATTTCAAACCTCCCTCTCCCTTTTCCCATCCAAAAAAAATTGTAAATCCCCACTAACCTCGAGACAACCGCGAGTATCCGGTCCAGCTCCTTTAACTTTAAATATAAGAAATCAATAATGTATAACAAAAATGATAACTCGGCTCTGTAAAGTTTATTCGATTGAGCCTGTACAAATAAAGTAATTAAAAAAAAAAAAAAAAAGTATTCGTCAATATCTGGGGCACCGCGACTTTTCCGGCCGACTGGTAAAAGTCCCCGAGAAGGGGGATCCAACTGTATGCGACAACTGGCGAGGCATCATGTCACTGTGTATTGTTCTCAAAGTTCTGTGTAAAGTTATCCTCAATCGGATACAGGAGAAGATCGACGTGGCTCTCCGACGACAGCAGACAGAATTCCGTGCTGGAAGATCATGTGTGGACCATATTGTCACGCTCCGCATCATCTTGAAGCAGGTGAATGAGTTCCAAGAGTCCCTGTACTTGGTATTCATTGACTACGAAAAAGCTTTCGACCGACTAAACCACGACAATTTGTGGGGCGCTCTGAGACGCAAGGTAGTTCCTGATAAGATCTTCAACCTCATCGAAGCGCAGTACGAGGCTTTCTCGTGCAGAGTGTTACACAACGGAGCTTTGTCTGACCCGATTCGGGTAATCGCGAGTGTGAGGCAAGGATGTATATTATCACCGCTACTGTTCCTCATCGTAATCGACGAGATCATGGTTGGAGCCGTTGACCGTATACCGAACCGTGGGTTGCTGTGGCAGCCTATTACTATGGAGCATCTCAACGATTTTTATTTGGCTGATGATGTTGCGCTATTAGCACAAAGGCGCTCTGCCATGCATAGTAAGCTCGACGACCTTGTCGAACCATCAACGTCAACAAGACCAAATCGTTGGATGTCAATACGGAAAACCGTTCCAATTTCACGGTAGCTGGGCAGGCAGTGGAGAAATTCAAAAGCTTCCAATATCTTGGCAGCCAGATAGCATCGGACGGCGGCTCCAAGAGCGACATAGGTGCACGAATTAAGAAGGCGAGGGCTGCTTTTTCCAGTTTGCGAAATGTATGGAGAGCGAATCAGATCAGTCAACGCACCAAAATCCGAATTTTTAACTCGAACGTGAAGTCTGTGCTGTTATACACCAGTGAAACATGGTGTGTATCAGCGGAGAACACTCAGAAGCTGCACGTGATTATCAACCGATGCCTGCGGTACATAATTCGTGCCTGGTGGCCTCACAATTGGATCTCAAATTCCGAGCTTCATCGTTTGTGCCATCAGAAGCCGATAGAGACAGAAATTAGTGAACGGAAGTGGAGATGGGTCGGTTACACACTACGACGGAGCGGAAACCAAATCTGCAAGTAAGCACTGGAAAGGAATCCAGTAGGACATCGCAGCAGAGGCAGAGCTAGAGGCTCGTGGCGGCGGAGCCTAAACAGTGAAATTAAGAACGTTGACCGAAATTTGACTTGGGTCAAGGCCAAAGCTAGTAATCGCCCAGGATGGAAATCTTTCACAAAGGCCCTGTGCACCCCTGGAGGTGCGCAGGATGGTTAAGTAAGTCTTAGTTCTACGAAGATCTCTGAACATCTTTCAACTTCTGGAAAGATCCCCATAATGTATTTATACTGTTGAACATCTGGAAAGTTCCTTGAAATGTAACGAAGTTCCTAAAACTTCCAAGAAATTGATTGAGGTTTTTCGAACTATGATCTCTGACAAAACTGCAACGAAGTTCCCTAAACTGAAATGATGAGCCCTGAAGTTCTTAGAAGATTGCTGAACTATGTTTAGATCTTCTACAATATTCCCTGCACGAATATGAAATGTTATGCAGCTTTGCTGTTTGTTTGGAATTTCTTGAACTTGTACGTAATTCCCTAAACTATTCCAGGCTCACAAGGCTTCAATAAAGTGTCTAGAAATTATAACGAGATCCCTGAACAAGAACGGGGTTCCATAAAATTAAATGATGTTTAATTTCTAGGAAGATGCCCTCAAACTTAAATAGAGTTCCCACTTCTACGCAGTTTTCCGAACTTTTCAAAAGCTCCCTGAATTTTTATGATTTTTTCTAAAGGTCAGAATTTTCGGATCTTCTTGAAGTTTTACCTGTTCCCTGAGGTTAATGGAAAATTCCTGAACTCTTGGCCAATTTGTAGAACCTGAAGACGTCTTATTATGCTATCGAAGAAGATTTAGAAAAGCAGACATTCATAAAAATAAATAAACATAAAAAGTAACCTCAAAGGTGCTAGACAGAATACCGGTGTATTAAAAAAAAACACCCAAAATTCCTTGAGGGCCTGGCCCCTTTGGCACCTCCATTAGCTACGCCAATGATGGCGTGTATTCGGTTCAATTTCTGAAACTCTAGATTTAAAATTAAGATTAAACATGTTTACCGCAAATGATAATTTGGCTCTGTAAGGTTCATTCGTACAATAAATTAATTTTCAAACAAAAATCATCGATTCACAACATTGATTATAAATAACTGCAAAATTTCAAACAATCAGAAGTAGATCCCCAGATATCCCAGTCAGTAGAGGAACTTATCATGGAGTTTTTCGGATTGGAACGTTTATCGTATTTCGTGAGCAAATACATAAATTTTACACTCTGAGCCAGTGCTCAAACATAATCGGACAGCAGGTGTTAAGTTCAAGTTGTGAACTTACAGCCAAGAAGTATAAGCTGAAGTAGATGATGCTAGTTGAGATCAAGGCCCTTTAAGCTCAAAATCCCCTGCACCAACGAATTCGAATCGCTTTAGACTCTTAATGCCCATTCATAGTCGATAGGACCAGTTTGGCTGGAAACGACAAATCACGCCTGTTGGGCTAAATCCTTGTTAATTGCTTCTAAAGTCCCAGCACAGAGACCTGCCCTGGTGCCGTACCGAATGGCTAATGGCTATTATTAGATTCTCCTGTCCTCTCTGCTAACATTGTAGATACAGCTTAAACTTTTCCACAGGGCATTGGCAGCCGAGATGGAAGGAGAGAGATGACCTTCTCCGTCAGGGCAACTTTACTGCACCCAGCGTCATCAAGATTGGCACAATTTCTCATTCGGAACCCATCATCGTTATCGTTGTCATCATCATCATCATCATCATCATCATCATCATCACAGACGACGCAGCCCGTAGAAAGAGGACATCAGCAGCAGTAACGAGTAGCGGCAGTAGCACCGATGGTCATTATTATTAATAACAATATTTAACTTACCAATCGGGAAGTTCTCCTCGATCGAAGCCAGATAGTGCTCTTCGGAGAACTGCGGTGCATGGTTGTTCACGTCCCGGATGGTGATGTTCACGTAGCACAGGGTGGTGAAACGGCCATCGCTTGCCTGAAACGAAGAGGGATGAAGTGAGACAATCGTTCTGAAGGATGTTTGCTCCTCCGTTCGTCGGTCGTCCACGGGTGGGATGCCGGGTGTGGCTTGACCTAGTTGGACTGACTGACTGCAGCGATGATGTTGGTACGCAGTCTGTGTCGAACCGGAACAGGACGCACATGCAGCAAATGTTAATCAAGGGAAGCAGCAGCGCAAAGTCTGCAGTTTAACTACTTTGCTGGCCGCCGGGCAAAGTCAGAGTTTGTGTGGATGGGCCAGATAGTGGAGCAGCTTTAAACGAGAATCCATTACAGGAATTAACTTGTTTGAAGAGCGAGGATGTATTTCTGAATAATTAAGCACAATGCGAGGGAAGTTATTGCAGTTGGCATTCCGTTGAATGTGAAGCTTGGCTTTAGGAAAGGCAACCTTCGAATGCGATTTTGCTGATTCGAAAATTGTTTACTGTTGTTTGCTTAAAGTCACGAGAAAGTCTAAGTCTACCAAAATTGACAACATTTTAAAATGCAAGATAGAGGTTTCCGGTTTTTTAAGCTACTTTAGAAGCACTATAAGGTAAACTCTCCTATAGTTGTAGTACATTAGAAGCGCTAGGTTCCTCCATACACAACTGTAGGAACCTAACGCTTTGAACGTACCGCAACTATAGGAGCGTTTACAAATATTAATATTTTTGGAATGGAGAAGATGAAATTTCTGGCTGCAACATAATAATACAAATCGGATAAATTTCAAAATTAGTAAATATTTTTGGGAAGTGAAAATAAAATCAAGCTGATGTAGGGTAAATGATGGCTTCGCCATTGACTTTTTTCGGTAACCAGAATTTAAACGAAACTCTTAGCTGAATGTATTTAAACGATTTTTTAGTCTTTCAGCATCAATCTGATTACATTTTGTCGACTGAGCAAACCTTTAAATGAAATATAAGCACCTTAAAATACGGCTGATTTCAAGTTGCCGATAATAGAAAAGCTTGTCAACACGCAGTTCAAGTGGAAAAGTTGCCGACAATAGCCGACTCAGTCGGTAAAGGCGTAGCTACAAAGCAAGACCATGCTGGAGGTGGCTGGGTTCGATTCCCGGTTCGGTCTAGGAATTTTTCGGGTTCAAAAATTTCTCGACTTCCCTGGGCATAGAAGTATGATTGGACTTGCCACACAATTATACTAATGCAAAAATGGTACAGGCATCGAAAGCTCTCAATTAACAACTGTGGAAGTGCATCTAGAACACTAAGTTGAGAGCACGCAATAAGCTAATATGCGATATGCAATAAGCTTGAAATGCAAAGAAGAAGAAGAAGAAGAAGAAGAAGAAGAAGAAGAAGAAGAAGAAGAAGAAGAAGAAGACAATAGCCGACATTGCCGACAACAAACACGCCATATGTGTGCGTGAAGCTGATAAATAGCTAATATAAGTGCGGACGCTACGTAAATACCTAGTTTTTTTCGTGGTGAACATATTCTGTATCTAACGGTTCACGATTTGTACTGATTGTTAATAAGTAACTTAAGGTAGCACATAAAAAAAATCAGCAGTAAATTTGTATACAATGATTTCTCACTAAAGGTATGTTCTAGACATTTTTTAAATTTTAATGGCACACATTTTTGCTGAATCAACCTAGTTGCTATCTCATTTTGTTGGAAAGTTATAAACGATCATTGAAAATACGTCATTTTCAAATGTTTATATCTAAAAATGGCGGTAACCAATTTTAAGTGTTATTACTTGTACTACCGTATTTTCATTTATCATCGGTGAAAAACCTGTGAAAGCTTTCGTTTGTTTACCTTATTTTATAAACTTTTGAAAACATCGTATTTTTTTATGAAACTCGTTTATAACTCACCAAAAAATCAGTATAAATCGTGAACCATAAGAAACAGAAATTTGCTTCCTTGAGCCAAGTTGCTTCAAATAACATGTTCTTCAATTTTGTCAGAAAATTCCGTTCTATCTCGAATAACTAGTCGATATTTATAACTCATCCGTAAGGACCACCCTAATATCTTCAACAAAAAAAGATTGGCTAAAATAAATTATCTGAAGATACACTTTATCTAGAAATAATGATCAACCTAAATGAAAAAAATGCAAATTTAGCAAAACAAAAATCCCAGTGCATTTATACAAGATTTCAGAGGTTAAGTATCTGCTTTAAACTATTTCAGCTTAAAAAGCTCCTTTTTTTTAAAAATCAGGGTAGTTCAAAAAATATTGTGATAGAAAATCTTTTTTTTTTTAATAACAACGCATGTTGTGGAACAAAGTTGAGATGATTTCAAGCTATTTTCCTCAAAATTCATTTTTCAATTTTTTATCGTTATCATTTTGGAGCAATTTTTCTGAATTTACTTAGGGTGATCCTGAATACAAAAATTTTTAGATCTAATTTCTTTATTTTTATTTTTTCCGTGAAAGTAACCTTCAGATGATTTTTAGGGCATGTTAAAGTAGGCATTTTTGTTTTGAATAGTAAATTGATATCTCTTATAATTTTCGAGATACTACCTGTTCACTGAAGTACAAGATGGAAATTTAGCAAGCCAAAAGTCCTAGTGCTTTTGCGAGAAGTCTTAGGGTGTTCTTTAAATAGTTTTTTATATCACTTTTATAATTTTTGAAACCAAAGACACGTGTTCTTCAGCAAAGTTTTTTCCGAGATGATTTCAAGCTACTGTACTATAGTACTGTACTGTATTATAGTACTGAGCTGAAGAAACTTTAGGTGTTTTTAAAATTATAGAGCAATGTGAGATAGAATAAAAAAAAATGTTTCTTCATTAAAGTAGTTTGAAATCATCTAAGCTACAACTTTGCTGAAGAACATTCGACTTTCCATTCAAAAATAAAAAAAAAGTTAGTTTATCTATATCAATAACCTAACAACCACCCTTATTTTAAAAACGGCCAAGAAATGCAAAAGTTCGCAGAAGACTGAAACCTCTACACCTAAGCTGCCTATAATCGCATCAGTTCCATATGGATATTCGTAAATTTTAAGATAATAACGCTATCCACTATCAATTGGGATCTTTTTTCATATCACGTGATAACACTACGAACTTTGATCATGAAAGTGTGAAAACAACATCAAGTCAAAGTAATCGCTTATCAGTCCCATCCTGAAATTCAATCGTCCAGAAGTTACAGTTCTGTTTTTAGAATCGCCATATTTTCCGCTGATATAACAAATCATGCAGGCTTCATTGCAACTGAATTTAACTTGAAAAAAATATCAAGTAAATTACTATGATTTTTTAAATATTTTTTTCATATGGGTCTGCTATGGGATTATAGGCAGTAAACACAAGAGCACTAGGGCTTTTGTCTCACTAAATTCCCATCATGGACCAGTGTGCAATGTGTTCGTGGACTCTTGATTAGACCTGTGCGCCGCCGCCGCTGACGGTTTTCATACGCCGCCACCGCCGATGAAATTGAGCCATCGCGCCGCCGCAGTAAAGTGGTTCACGCCGCCGAATAAATGTATGTCATGCCGATAAAAAATCCATAATATCTTTTCGGCAAAACGCATCTTGAACGCATTGAAATTAGAACTTGTGTGCACGCTCGTTCGTGGCTACTCAAAATTGAGTGAAAAATCACTCAATTTAATTAAAACCAGATCTACTCTAAGATGAGTAACATAACCAGAACTGAATTTTGAGTAACACGGCTAGGTATTTGTTGATGAATTGTTTCTACTCATTTCCATTAAACCCAAAATCTAGCGAAATGAGTCAAAATCACACAAATAGGCAAACACTTCGTTTCCTTTCTTTTCTTCTTCTTTAGGATTAATAAACCAAACAACTGTAAAACAATTTAATCAAGCATTTTATGTTATAGCACACAGAATGCAAAACAGTTACCTCTCAATTTGCGGTTCGTTTCCGCATCCACGGCGGCTGGAATTTGCTCCATTTTCGACGTAAAGGCAAACTTCGTATTTTTTCATTATCACAACGCCATTTTTGAGTCAACAAATGGCCTGAAAGCTCAAAATTGAGATCCACTTTTATTTATTTATTGTTGAGTCAATGTTACTCAAATTCACAAATCACAACTACGCATGATTTGGCGTTTCAAAAGTAGTTATAAAAATGAGTACGTCTGACTAATTTTTGAGTAACTTCAAAGGAACGTGTATGAGGCAGCGATTGCCGTTTAGTTTTTTGACGTTTGTTCGCACTTTCTCCATAGAGGTAACTCTCTATCTAGCACACAGAATGAATGAATTATTATTTTTCCTCACGGCCAATGAAAATGACTCAAAATTGAGTAAGAGTTACTCATATTTGAGTTCAGGTTACTCAAATTCGCGAAAACGTAGGTCATTCATAGAATGAGTAAATTTTCCGACACTTTTCCAAGGAAAACTTCTCGAATATGAGGAAAACTAATTGTGATTTTAGTCTGTCTACTAGTAAAATTCTAACCTGTGCACAATTTTCTTAAATTTTCCCTATATTCGAGAAGTTTTCCCAGGGAAAGTGTCAGAAAATTTACTCATACTATGAGTGACCTACGTTTTAGCGGTTTAGCGTAATCTGGACTTAAATGTCTGACGGTCTGATAAGTGTGACCAAGAAGAAGGAATGGTGCGAATGGATCACGTACATTTGCACATATTTAGTGCCGGATTGTCCTTCGCATAGTCCGGTTGTTGCGTGCTGATATAATAATTATGGGGCTGATATAACCACCATTGAACTTGTTTTGAATTCTCATGTGATTTGAGGTGTCACATCATGAGTTTAACAAGATTTAGGCTAATTGCCATATCTCCAGAATCAGTTGACGATTCAAAAAAAAATTTATGGGACCACATGACGTTCCATTTGGCGGTTGTTGCATCCATTTCAGTCCAGTGGGACTCCAGGAAATAGGGTAAACAACTAATTTAAGTAGGGGTAAAATTTAATGTTAGGTGTAACTACTAAGTACAACCCGCACTTTACCAATCTTTTTCAATAGGATTT